ACTCAAATCCCAACTCAAGTTCATGAATACATATCAATGAATCAGATAAAAAAGAGTATCTGAAATATATGACATTGAAAAATACAAGTCAACATAAGAAGACCAATAAACACAAGGAAATCTGACGAAATGGAAGACTTGATTACATTGAAGGACAGATATCTTGATTAGTAGAGTAGAAGTTACGTTAAACGAAAGTTTCTATCATGCGTCCTTCTATGAGATGTAAATATCAGATTCAGTTGAAACTTTTTTGCGTATTAAACCCTCTTTGTAGTGGACTCTTTTTTGGTTTCTTTTTATCTTGTTCATTTCGAATGAAAATGCGTTAATACTCGTAACATACGTCTAAAAGCTACTTTATTTTTACTCGGACTCATCTTTTAAAATCTACCAAAAGTTACTGCGGCAATACTTTTTGAACAGAAATAGAAGCTCGTAACACAAACAGTGTGGATGTGGGGTGTTTTGTAAGTGTGAGTTTCGATAAAAGTATAACTCTCATTCCTGAAACTCATCGTCATCTCACAATCCATATCCCGCCCACACTCACACCCAAGCTGTTTCTTTTTTTCAACAATATTCATCAATTGGTGAGAATACTTCATTTACAGAGTATTAATATTTTCTATTCTAAATCATTAAAAAGCTGACAATTTCCAGCTTCGATTTCGCATGACTTTATTTTGATAGAATCTTTCTATCGATTTTCAGTTCGTCAAGTTGAAAGGTTTCTCGTAATTGTTGTGAAAAATGAGCGTCTGGAAAGTAAATAATTAGTTTTAATGTGTTTTTCTCCTGTGTTTCAAACAATTTCTAATCTTCGGATATTGCTAGAGTCAGAAGATTGTTAAAGTCCCTTAATATATTTAGTATTGAAAGTGATAATAATATTTTTATGGAGGACTTGTATCTGATCCCAAATTCAAAAAGATACTTAACGAATACTTGGCACTTCGAAACGATATAATCGAGCGTAGTAGTTAAATTAAGATAAATGATTTATTCAAGGACTAAAATACATTGTAATGGTCAATTTTTTTATTATTCATTTCGTTGAGGTGCATTTCGATGACGAAAATGGTCTAGTGACGGATGATAATGTATTTTAATGATGATTTTTTATCCTTCACATGACTCAATTTTCCTGTAATCACTGTCCTTTTGATAAAAATATGAAATTCATTTGCTCTATTGAAGATTATGCTTTATATAACATTAAAATAAAGCAATGATAGCACTCTTCTATTCTTTAAAAAGAAAAAATTAAGATAAGAACCGAAAACAAAGAGTCACTGAGAAATAATCTTTTCCACATTGAGAAAATGATTATATAAAAGTATCGATTTCGACTCATTTAGTTCTTTGTTAGAAGATTTAACAATGATGACAAAGAATACAAGTTTAAGACGGTGTATTGAAGATCTTTCTTCCAAAAATACAGATTATAAATATCCCGAACAAGCAATAAATCAAGCAGAATCATTAAAATCTTTATCCAGTGATTTATATACAGATGATGTACGGTTTATTTATGAATTAATACAAAATGCTGATGATGCTCAAACAATTCATATCATTTTAGCAATTCTTGATAATAAATATTTAATCATCGGTCATGATGGTAAATCTAATACTATATCTATTTATTTTTTTTAATGAAAAAGTTTTCTTTCCAATGAATATTTTCAAAAAATTAATTCTTTGTCTTTGGTATATCTCATAGTAACGCATAACGCAACATAGGTTCGTTTCAACATTGTTTTCTTAGGAAACGAATCGAGACGTAGCCAGAATTACTTTTTAAGCACATAAAGACAAGTCTTATCTTATAAACTGCCTCTGAATGTGTTTTATATCAAAACTGTCATTTGCAAAAACTCTGATAAACCCGTCCGAATAAGTTTTGAGTTGAAATCATGTCTTGCGAACAACTTTTTCTTGAGTCTAGACACGTTTTCAATGATAACCGTGTTAGAACGTGATCAGATTCTGTACGCGTCCAAACGCTTTTTATATTAAAACTGAGCCTAAGTGCAGTTGAAAACACTTTTTTAATATGTCTAGACACATCCCAAAATAGATTAAAAGAAAACACGCACCGAACCTTCAATCATGAAAGTTTCCACATGTGTTTCTGAAATAAATGGCGTCTAGACGCAATAGATACATCATCTGAATTGTTCCTAGACTCATTTGACCTTCGCATTTTGAGCACACGTCAGATGCCATTTAAACGCGTCCCGATATAAAAAAGTTTTATATGCAATGTCAGAAAATATGCTTCGCTATCAAACCAAGAGTCAAATAAAAGATCTTGAGGTTGGCTAAGAGAGATAAAGAAGAGTAGTTGTCATATTATTCGCCTAATAATATGAATAGGTGAGATGCTAATCTCGATTTATTAATTTCCACTTTGAACATCAACCATGCGTGAATAGTTTTTTCCTACGAAACGAATATTCTTCTCTTTCGTTCTCCAATCCTGTTCTCATTTACATTTCATCCAATCAGACAAGAAATTCTAAAAACGCTCTTTAACATTGTAATCGTGGTTTCCATTGAAGCGTTGTTAAAACAATTGACAAGACACCAAAAATCACTACTGTCATTTTAAAAGATGTATGAAGGCGCTTGAAAGCCATATTTTGCATCCGAAATTTTTTCTTCGTCAGATTTTCACGTGTTTTGCAGATAAAAATAACTTTTTTCTGTACGTGATGTATATCAAAAATATTGCGAGATGTTGTCTTCTAAGGAACATCTCTGTATTTTGTATGGCAAAAGAGGCTTGTTTTGATGTTTTCTCAATGGACCTAAAAATTCTCAAGCGGGAACCACGATTGGAGCCTTTGAATGGGTTTTCCAAACTTTTCTCTGCTTAAACAACGTCAAAGATGTTCGACTTTATTCATTTGAATTCATAAGAATTGGATGGTGCCAGAAGATCGTCTTCGGATATATTGTCTAATGTCCTACCATCCGGACTTGTATGCAGAACGATACAATCTTCGAAGAAACCGTAGCTCCAGCTATCAAAAGCGTCGAATTGAATCTGATTCGTATCCAAAAGTTCATCGATTTCCAAGAATGTAGTCCCATCGTTGCTTGTACATATAAGAAGAGAGCAATATTCTGTGATAAACTTGTTTCTGATTTCTTTTGAAGATGATAAACTTATTGATAAGATATATTTTTAATGTTCTTTTTATAGGACAAGCATTTAATGAAAAAGATGTAGAAGGATTGTGCGGTGTGAATAATGGAACTAAAGAGAAGAATTTAGATAAAACAGGGTATAAAGGTTTATGATTTAAAGCGGTTTTTTGAAAAACAGATTATGCCATTATTTATTCTAATGATGAGTTCTTCCGTTTTGATTCATCTTGTCCAATTAAATGGAATAAACAATGGGGAACTGATGATCAACAAGCATGGGAAAGAGAAAATGATCGACAATTTATTTATTCATTGTAAATCAATCCAATATGGACTACAGCAAATGAAATTCCAAGTATTATTAGAAGTTATCTTAGTTCAAAAATAAAGCAAATCCACGTAGCTAATATAATTTTATTAAAACATGTTGAACGAAGTTGCATAGCTATTGATCAATTGAAAAAAACAACCATATATGTTTCTTTTTTTACGAAATATTTCTCAACTAACATTCTCTACCAAAGTAACAGATGTTGTATCCATTGAGCGCAATGTCAATTATGGTTTCAAAAGAGTTAGCCTTAATGAAAAAATTATTTCACAATGGATGATTAAACGTGTTGAATTGGATATTCCAGATGATGTTCGAAGAAAATTAGCTGAAGATTCTAACGTTCCAGAAAAATTGCGCTTAATAAAGAAAGTTGAAATATTTTTTGCTGCTAAATATAAAGATCCAATAGTTGATGAACATGGAAGAGTGACTAGAGGAAGTAGTATTGAAAATATACATGTTCAAGATTCAATTCTCTTTTCTTATTTACCAACAACAATTCTCGAATATAAGTTTCCAGTATTAATTAATACTAACTTTTTAACAAATACTAATCGAGAACAAATTCATATAGGTAAAATATTAATGAACTAAAAGAAAAAAAATTACAATTACTTTGCCAAGCTTTTCCGTTTATAAATAGTCTCATTTGTGCTTAGATTCGATTTAGAACCAATAGTTATTTAATCGAATAGGGCCTGAAATATTACAATGGATAAAAGAATTAGTTGTACATGATAAATTTCGTTTTCAAGCTTATCAACTTATTCCATCGAGATTGACCTTAACAAACAATATTTTAGCGAACCGACTCAATGAATTGTTTGAAATGTCTCTTAAAAATTGTAATTTTATCCTTGATCGAGCAAATCAATTATTAAGAGTAAGTCGAAAAAACTATTGAATAGAACCTGAATCGAACAAGATTCTACTATAGCATATTGTGTTTGGTTCGTGTCCGCTGTTCAGTTTGAAATTATCATCAGAGCCTCGGCCAATAGAGGTTGCCCACGGTTCGAGAAAAAAATGAAAACCTGAGAATGCCGACAGCAAAAACAGAACTGTCTACTAGCCGGATGAATACGTGAATACGAAAAAGTTTTCGAAGAATTTTATCAAAATCCTTTACGAGTTATCGAAGTTAAAACTAAATGACATTTACTCATGTTTTGCTTTTTGAAACGAAGATCGCAAATTTTATATGTGAATACGAATAAAATGTATTGTGATGAAATCTAATATTCTTGATTAATTAGTTGATGACTGAATTGTGTTTAGATTGATGAAGCAATCATAGATTCAACATCATTATCTGAACAAACATCCTTCATTAATATCGATTCAATGCGAGAATATATTATTGACAATCACAAAAATACACATTTTTCGTGTGCTGATCGTCCATTTATTGATTACGATCCAAATGTCACGAATAGATGTTAGACAATTCAATTGGCAAAATTGTATTACAATGCTTCAATCGAGTATTTTTCTTAAAACTCATTCGGGTGAACGAAATCAACACATGATCAAATATTTTTATTCAACATGCCCAAAGCCTGATACATCTTCGGAAATCGGAACATATATTCAACAAATTCCTTTTTTAATGGATCACAAGAATAATCTGCAATTAGTAAAAAATATTTATTTTCCTGCTGAAACAATTGGTGATACAGGAACAACTGATTCAAAAGATTTATTTGTAAATAAAATAATATCTGATTGGTTAAATCAATATTCACAAAATGAAATAAAACAATGGCTACAGAAATTAGGTATTGTTGAACGAATAGATCTAACATATTTACATTAAACAATTATTCCAAATGCAGCTACTTATACAACGTTAGAAAATGCTATAAAAACAATCAAAATGCTATTTATGTTGTTTCAAAAGAATATCATTGACAAAAAAGAACTTGACCAATTAAAACAATTGAAATTATTGACAACATGTGAAACATTAGTAACAGCTCAACGATGTTATTTCTCAGATTCTTTCAAACCTCGATTACCACTTGAAGAATGTTTGATAAAAAGAGAAGAGAAATTTTTATCTTTCAACTATGTGACAAATAATAGTTTCAAAAAAGAAAACGAAGATTTGGATGAATGAAAACGATTTGTTAAAGCATTTCACGTCCAAGAAGAATTTTCTCTGCTCGAATTTCAACATGTATTAAACAATCATGAAGCCATTGACTACGGATTTTGTAGAGAGAGTATCTATCGAAAATTTCGTATGAGTACCATTCTGTTGATGGTTATTCGAACTTGAAAACAATCGTATTTTTAGACCATACAAAAAAGTAAGGCTAATTTTGATTAAATGACTAAAAGATCGGATTCCATTATTATCCATTTCTGAAAATAAGTCGCTTCGGCAGAATTCTTATAACTTTTGGAGGGAAGGTCATAGAGAGCTGCGGTTTTAACCGTTGGATAGAGAACATCAGGGCACATAAGTCTATGT